AAGAGGTCCTTAAAGTTGTAAATAACGAGCAAGAATTTAAGAGGGAAGAAGAAGTATACTACTGTTATTCAGAGCCCTGCCGCTGACAAAAGGATACATCATGGTCCGCACCTTGCTTTAATGGGAGTAATAAAGCAAAAAACAAAAAACATTTTCATTAATAATTCTTTGGAAAAATTTTTTAAACAATTTTTGATTTTTGTTTTGTTAAAAGAATTTTTTATTACACAATTTGCAATTTGTTTCAAATCTGTGCGTTTATTCGTAAAAAGATAACTTTTTAACTTTGTTTTAAATAATCTCGAAAAGTTAATGAAATAAGCGAAATTTTTTTTAATATTATGTTTCAGAAGGGTTCAAATATTATAGAAAAAATTTCGCATACTGATAGGATTTTTATTGAATAAGCTATAAGGTTTCAAAGTAGACCATTGTCAAAATGGTGTAAAAAACCATGTATTTTTTATCTTCTAAAATCCATAAGTGATGCACAAAATTTTTCTGCTTTTTGCAATTTCGTATAGTAACGTAGGAATAGTGTAGCTGCTGACTCCTAGTTGTCTCAATGTAATGCGATTTTTTTACCTGAGTTATAAGTTCTCAAAGACAGGGGTCTTTACATTTTAAACCGATAGTATATATATATACCCAACAAACACTGTTATATAATATTTATGTAGCAATTCTATAACAGAAAATCACATGTGATATCATAGGTGATAAACATGTGATTGAAAATGTCGTAACATTAGGGTCACAGTGATATTACTGTTACAAGCACTATGATATAGCAGTTATGTAACTTTGTGCTAATAAATTTGTGATACTTAGTGATAAGTGCTTTGTGATATAACATTATGGAACAGTGTTTTTTTTATTTTTGAAATTTCACTGGATTTTATAATACTGTTACATATATATGAGGCAAAATTCCTGAAATGTCCGAACAAAAAATTAAAAGTTCTCGAATTTAATCCATACTTTTCTAAAATGTTGTTATTGTTGGTGAAAGTCTAAAAATCAATTATTATTGAATTTAATAAAATAGTTTTTGAATTACAACGTTTTTAATTTTTGACTTTTGAAAAAAAAAAAATTTTCAATGTACAATATTTATAAGTAGAATGCATAAAAGTTAACATATATATAATGATTTTTAAAGCTTTTTTGACGAGCTACACGCTGTTAATAAAATTTTTTTTTTTAAAATAACATTTGACCTTGAGATTCAAGGTCAAAATGTTAATTTACGTTTATCTCAAAATCGGATTTTTTAAAATTAATTTTAACTATGTATCTCAATGGAAAGCTTGACTAATTTCCTACAAAACATGTAATTTTCAGAGTGGGATCTTTTAAAGTTTTTGAGATATTAATTAATTAATTAATTAATGTTTATAACAAATGAAATATATTACAAACGAATAAAGTTACCGTAATTCTGAAGTTAGTAATTATAAAGTTAACGTAATTCCGCATCCAACGAGCCCTATATGAAGTATTTTGGATAAGTAGATTGTTAATAAACAATTAGTTAACATTGCAATTGTTTATAACCAATCTACTTATCCAAAATACTTCATATAGGGCTCGTTGGATGCGGAATTAGCTTAACTTTCAATTGGTTAGTTTAGATTTATGATAACTTTATTTGTTTGTAAGATATTTTATTTTTTATTGTTATTTAACTAAAATTGAACAAAAATACTTCATATAGGGCTTTTGGATGCTTGTTGTTAGTAAAAAATAAAATATTTTACAAACAAATAAAGTTATGGTAATTCTGAACTTATCAATTGAAAGTTAAGGTAATTCCACATCCAACGAGCCCTATATGAAGTATTTTGGATAAGTAGATTGTTAATAAACAATTGCAATGTTAACTAATTGTTTATTAACGATCTACTTATCCAAAATACTTCATATAGGGCTCGTTGGATGCGGAATTACGTTAACTTTCAATTACTAACTTCAGAATTACGGTAACTTTATTCGTTTGTAAAATATTTCATTTGTTATAAACATTAATTAATTAATTAATTAATATCTCAAAAACTTAAAAAGATCCCACTCTGAAAATTACATATTTTGTAGGAAATTAGTCAAGCTTTCCATTGAGATAGTTAAAAATAATTTTAAAAAATCCGATTTTGAGATAAACGTATATTAACATTTTGACCTTGAATTTCAAGGTCAAATGTTATTTAAAAAAAAAAATTTTATTAACAGCGTGTAGCTCGTCAAAAAAGCTTTAAAAATCATTATATATATGTTAACTTTTATGCATTCTACTTATAAATATTGTACATTGAAAAAAAATTTTTTTTTCAAAAGTCAAAAATTAAAAACGTTGTAATTCAAAAACTATTTTATTAAATTCAATAATAATTGATTTTTAGACTTTCACCAACAATAACAACATTTTAGAAAAGTATGGATTAAATTCGAGAACTTTTAATTTTTTGTTCGGACATTTCAGGAATTTTGCCTCATATATAATTCAAATTATTAAATTAAAAATATATTTTTTAAAAAATTAAATAAAAATTTTTTGTAATTTCAATTTCTCAATTAAAATATAAATTATGTAATTATTATATTATATAAAATATAAATTGAACTATAGAATGATCCCTTTGTACATAATTATGTGCCCGTTGAAATTCAATTTTATGCAAGTTACAAAAATTCATGGTACATATATTAGTTTTTCTGCATTGTGATTTTTAAAATTTTAAATTAACATTTTCAAATTCAATTAAAAAGAAAATTGTTTGAATTTTCAAAAAAAACTATTCTAATAAAAGTAATAATAAGTATAAATTAATTAATATTATATATTATTAAATCATTCGTTCATTAAAAATCAATAAATTTGTCAATTCATACATAAATATGCATTAAATATATAAAAAAATAAAATATACTTAAGAAAATTTAAATAATTTAAAAAGTTAATAAGAAAAAAATGTTGACTAAAAAAAACATAAATATTCATGTATTATGTCACATAGTTTCATAATAGTTACGTAACAATTAAAGGACAATGTGACATACAAAAAGTTACCACCTTGTGATGTAATAAATATATCATATTGTTATATAATATATACGTATACAAATTATGTAACAATTACATCACCATAGAATAACAGAATTATATCACAGCGTTACATTCTCATTATATAATGGTTACTTAAAACTAATGTCACAGAGTGACATAACAATGTGACCTATTTGTTATGTAGCTGATACATAACGTGTTTGCTGGGTATATATATATATAAGCAAGTCATATGTTAGTAGAAAGTCAGTATTATAGAGGTATCTATGCAAATTTTAAAATAGAAGAAAATAAAAAAACATATAATATAAAAAATGTATAATGATCAACAATCTTATGTTAGTATAGCTTCTGCAGTTAGGAATTTTATTAAATAAACAAAAACAATTATTTCAATTTCATAATTATCTTCTAATCAGGATTGGATATTCTTAAACATTCACTAACATTATAAGTTATTTAGTACTCTGTTTCTTTGTTTTTAGAATTTATGTTTTTACCATTTTCACGACATAACTTACATTGTTAGGACGTATGTTTAATATCTTTACATTTTTTATAAACATTTGCCTTAATGAAAAAAAAATTAAACAAAGGAATTATAGACGCCACAAACGACATAAAAATGACGTAAAAAATGACATCATTTTTAATCCCAAAAAACTATGTCCTTTTTGAAGTAATTTTTCATGTCGCTTTTGACGTCAATTTTGAAGACTTTTTGCACATAATTTTTCACGTTGTTTTTTGCGTCCTCTTTTTCAACAGGGTAATGAGAAAGAAATGCGAGCATTATTTTATTTTTCAACAGGTGAAAACTTCGTTCATTAAGTGTTATTTAACGCGTGAAAAGGGGCTGAAATGGAAGCTACTTTTCCGCGTTAGAAACACTATAACTTATTTTAACGTGACAAGTTAAAACAAGTTCAGCGCCATGAATGTGTGAACACAAAGCATTGAAATTGAAAATTAGATTCTTCCAATGTAAAAAAAATCATGTTACGTATCAAAAATGTATCGAGTGCACAATATTGATTTTTGAATTTATTTCACTAATAAAAAGAACACGTTGAGCGCCAAAAATGTGGCAAACCATTCACAAGAATTGAAATATTTTTGATTCTAAAAAAGGGGATGTGGATCTGACTCATGAACGTTGCACACAATAAACGAACGAAATTTCCACCAACGTTGTTGTTGATTCGAAGGCAATTGTAAGCAAGAGAAAAGACCAACAATGCGGAGAGAATCAAGAGAGAATAATCAAACTTACCGATCGATGAAAGCACAAAGAAAATCCAACAGTCCGCTTTCACAATACTCGCTTGTATAATTATAATGAAAATGCACACTGCTAAATGTCTTTAGGATAACAGAAAAATAAGTGTAACACACACACACACAATTAATAGAAACACGCAGTTAATCTATAATGAAATGATTGATAGAAAATACGGAAAATACATTAATGATATATAACGCGTAAAGATTGTTGTGACGCAGCACAACACGACGCGGACTCGCAAGTCTTTCATATAGCTATCGCTGGCTATGTACACGCGATCTTGTTGTCTGCTCTGTTAATTTCAGATACAATATGAGATTTCTCTTTAGAATGACACTTTTATCCAACATTTTAATACACAGTATTAAAATATTTTTTAGTACGTGTACTAAAAGTTCTATATAATAGAATAGTCAACAAAAATTTATGTAATAGTTTAGATCCAAAAATTAAACCTAGAGCACAACTCCCCACTCTCCCCTATAATTTGTGAAAACAATAGGTTGGGAGAAGCATACTTTGGGAAAATAATAGGTTAAGAAAAGTGGACTATGGGAAAAAAAGATTGTGAATTTTAACTATTAGGAAAAACGGATTAGGAAATGTCCACCAACGGATAAAAAATTGTGTAAGAAATTTCATCGCCATACATTTTTTTATTATTAAGTTTTATTTAATTATAAACATTACATTTCAACTATTCTCGGAACCTGTTTATATAGCAATGGAATCATACAGCAATGAACATGAGGACTTGTCAGATTGACAAAACCTTTATAATTTGTTATTGCTATGTAGCTTAGTTACAGAATAAAATTTGTAGTATTTTCTGTATTAAATATATTCCCAACATTGTTCATTTTAGTTAAGAAAATATTTTTCAGTGTGCTGAAATATAAAATTCTTAATATTTCATAGAGAACCTTATTTCCTTTTCTTTTTAACAGGACCATCTTCAACAATATCTCTTGGAGAAATGAAAGCCTCAATTGTACAATCTTTTCCTGGATGATCTATACAAGATAAATTTCTTTAGAAATAAGTAAATTTTATCATTCAGTACAATAAGAAAATACAACATTATTTTTTATTTTCGATATTTCTTACTGCAATTTTTATAGGTTTTTTTTATAAAAAACACAAATTAGTAAACAGAATTATTCTATACACAAAGTTTACGTTATGTTTGGCATTGAAAATTTAACTTTTTTAGGGCAAAAATTTTTTATCTATTTAATCTGTACCAAATCAGCACGAAAACTTGCAGGAAGCATGCCGTGCAAAATTGCAGGCAAACATGTAGCAAGTTAAGTACAAGCAACAAAATATCCTCTTACGGCAAGCTTGCAGGGCAACTTTGGCGCAAGCTTTCTGCAAGTTTGCATTGCTTGTATAATATTAAAAAAAATTTTAGAAACAATTTGTTTCTAAATAAACATAAAGAGCACTATGCTTTGAAGGTTAAAAATTTATTGCGCAGCCGTAGGAGCTTCCGTTTACAACTGCACATAATGTTAAGTTTTGCAAACTTGCAGCAAGTTTTAAATTTCTGATAAATTATAAAGTATAATGTGAAATTAGTGAAAAGAAATTTTTCAGTTTCTTAAAGTAGTCACTGAAATGGTTAATTTAAAAAATTACATTATGTAAATCAAAATTTAAAAAAATATCAAAAAAATTTGATTCAAAATAATATTTTTTACTACCTACAGTTCTAATTATGTTTATTTTTCTTTTTTATAAATTATTTATTAATAACAAAGGAAAATAATATATTATATTATGTAAATGTTATTAAGATATGAATTACATATTTTTAAATTATCGCGCGCTAATTATTGCGACCAATCAAGTGGCTTTAACTGAATAGGTTATTTTCATTTCCACAACGTAACAGCTGTTCACTAATCTAAAATCATAATAAAAAACTTAAAGGAGATACAAAATTTTTTTTCAGATTTGTGTAAAATAGTGTTGTAATGATTCATTTTTTGTATATATATGGAATTTAAATGTTTTCAATATTTGTGTTTTTGATAAATAAGATTTACGTATAATATAAAATTTAAATATTAGCGCTTATTTTTAACGAAATCAACTTCAGCTCCACCTGTACAGTTCTAATCTAGAGATATGTTTCGCCCTTCTATTGAGATTTTACATTCCCAATGCTTTTAATTAAAAGTTCGATTTTTTTTTTAGAAAAAATTGATTTCCGGTTTGTAACAATCACTTCACGTGAAATTCCCCATACATGTTAATCCTTCGAGGTCACACTGGGTGGTTGTCACCTATCAATATTTTCAAATTTGGATATTTTTCTGGAAAACTTGAAAGATTCATGAAATTTTTTCGATAACACGGATTTTATATTTTTATTCGAAACATAAAGAAACAGATTTTTAAAGCATTAAAATGTATCCACAAATTTTGCTTGTTTCTGTAAATTAACCATTTCCAAATTACAGCCACTTAAAAATGACTAAGGTTGGCACCACCCACACTGAAGAAGAAAGTTAATTGAATCAAGTAAATTCATTTACTTGAGGTACTTTACATGAAACAAGACGATACTCTCTTATTGGAAGAAATTTATTTTCCTGAGTCAAGTAATTTTGAGCATTGAGCAATGTTCTTGAAATACAATATATATATATGTTAAAGACGGAAGTTAATTAACAAAAGAAAATAAAATAGATAATTTGACGAGAAATAATAAATATTTAGAAAGAATACTAATTTTTATTATTTAACAATCCCGCTTATTTGGAAAGCGTAAATGCTCTTCGCTAAACAATTTTAGAATAAGGTAGTGGACTGCCTCTCAGTAAATTATTAATTCAATAAACCCGGGTAGACGGTATTTAAGAGAAAATGTTAAAAAGAAACATGAGACAAAGTAATTAAAAGTGAATTAAATAAATGGAGTCAAATTAAATTAACACTCAATGTATTACAATTTATTCTCAGTATATTTGCTTTATATATATGAAAAGAAAGGATTATTACAAAATTCAATAATCAATTTAATTAAGCTACTTGACTTACGTCAAGTCTCACAAATAGCAACAAGATAGATTCTATCTACAAAAATACAAATTTCTGTTTGTTATGTAGGTTGTTGGTGTGTTTGTGTATGTTTAATTATATTTAAGAAGAAACTGTATTATTAAAGTCAATTATTTAAAAAGACTCACCAGAATTATAATCGTAACAGAAAAGTATCGTATTACTCGTTGTTTGTCACTTGATACTTCGGTATGCGGAAGTCTTCTCTTATTTATTTTATTTATAATGAATTTCTCAATTAATTTCTATTTAACTTGTATATTTTCAAGACACTTGTACTTTATATTAATAATTACAAATCAACCCTTACTCGGGTAATAATCAATAACTTCAACCACTTTTTGTGGGACTTCAATAACACCGTCCGACACGATTTTTCACACACGAAAAAATCAACGATTTTCAGAAACTAGGACCAAAAAAAAGATACCCGTGTCTGGCCGTTTTGCTAGATCAGGTCATTTTTTGCTTTTAGGGGTAAAAACAACCCTTAAATGAAAGGTAATAGGAAATCTTGTACAAATTAATAATTTTTTATGAAACTTGGTATCTCGGGGTTTTCCGGGTCGCTGATTACGAATCTGATGTCAGATTTTCAAAATTCAAAATGGCGGATCCAATATGGCGGTCGAAATTTATAAAAATTCACCAATTCATTTGAAAGTTGTTACTTAGGGGTTTTTGGGGTCGCTGATTACGAATATGATGTCAGATTTTCAAAATTCAAAATGGCGGATTCAATATGGCGGTCGAAATTTATAAAAGTTCATCGAATTCACTTAAAACTTGTTAATTGAAAGTTTTTGGAGTCGCTGATAACGAATATGATGTCAAATTTTGAAAATTCAAAATGGCGGATCTAATATGGCAGTCGAAATGTATAAATATGAATTCTTTTTTATAAAACTTGGTATCTAGGGGATTTTAAGGTCGCTGAGTACGCATCTGAAGGTAGATTTTTAAAATTCAAAATAGATCTAATAATGTGGAAGATTAGAAAACAATATTTAAAAAATAAAAATTTCCACATATGTGTTTTTTGTATATTGGACAAAGTTAAAACAAATGACAGTTGTTTATATGTTCGTTTTCAGTTGCATAGTTACGGAAAATAGTACATAAAACAAATGCCAATTGTAGACTTTTTTACTTTGCCCAGCAGTTTTAAACAATCACTTCACATCTTTAAATTGATCTTACTTGAGCTTATTACTGCTATCTAATAAAAATATTCTTACTTACTACAAAGCCTGTTTTGTCATTAAAAAAGTGTCCAATATACAAAAAACACATATGTGGAAATTTTTATTTTTTATATATTGTTTTCTAATCTTCTACATTATTAGATCTATTTTGAATTTTAAAAATCTACCTTCAGATGCGTACACAGCGACCCCAAAAACCCAGAGATACGAAGTTTTATAAAAAATTAATAACATTTATAAATTTCGACCACCATATTGGATCCGCCATTTTGAATTTTGAAAATCTGACATCATATTCGTAATCAGCGACCCCAAAAACCCCTAAGTAACAACTTAAATTGGTGAATTTTTATAAATTTCGACCGCCATATTGAATCCGCCATTTTGAATTTTGAAAATCTGACATCAGATTCGTAATCAGCGACCCAGAAAACCCCGAGATACCAGGTTTCATAAAAAATTATTAATTTGTACAAGATTTCCTATTACCTTTCATTTAAGGGGTTAGGGGTAGTCAGAATTTTCAAAAAATCAAATTTTTTTTTTTGCATTTTCGTTAAGTAAAATATCTTAAAAATAATCTCTGAAAATTTCAAGTTAATCCGATAATTCGTTTTTAAGTTATTCGACAAATAACAAAGAGAGCTCGGGCCTTTTAAAGCGCTCGCGAGCGCTTGCAGCTAGTGTCAGCTGCAAGAAATCGGCTTTTAGGGTTCTATTGTCATCGATGAACTTAGACTTGGGTATATGTAGTAGTACCTAAATTAATATGGCCCAGGAATAGATGACTCGGTGTAAGTAATTTAATAATTCGTTTTTTTGTACGTAAATCTAGTGTGAAACTAAACGCGTTTTTCTCAAAACTATGTTTTTTGAACTGGTGACAACTATAACTCGAAAACCGCTCAGTCGATTTTAATGAAATTTATACAGCTTTTAGAATACATAATAAACTCGGGCCTGATCGAAGGATTTTTTTTTTTTTGAAAAATTTCGATTTTTTAAGACCAATTAAATGTTGATTTTTTCCCAAAAATCTAGACAAAAATTTCCTGAGGCCGCCATTTTGTTAATTTTTGAAAAAAAAAAAAATCCTTCGATCAGGCCCAGGATTATTTATTTATAAAACTAATTTTTTTTATCCGATTGATTTCTGATTAATCTCCAAGGACTTATGATTGTCACCGCAAGGACCTTTTTTTGGAACTGGGTTAACACAAACAGCTGTAACTTCGGAAATAAAAATTTTTTTTTTTTTAAATTTTCGTGACTTCAAGTCAAAACATTGTTTAATAATACCATATTACTACTTTTGTAAAATAAAATTATTTAATAGCAAAAAAAAATACTGAAAATTCTCATTTTTTCGTGCCTCTGACTACCCCTAACCCCTTAAAGGTTGTTTTTACCCCTAAAAGCAAAAAATGACCTGATCTAGCAAAACGGACAGACACGGGTATCTTTTTTTTGGTCCTAGTTTCTGAAAATCATTGATTTTTTCGTGTGTGAAAAATCGTGTCGGACGGTGTAATCATCCACCTTTTGCGGGAATCAACACAACATCCGCTCTGCGGGAAATGATACTGAACACTTGAACGAATACTGATCATTCGATCACTACTGGCCGAAAGACCGACTATTTAAACTCTTTTAAACAATGAGATTGGTGACAATGATCACTCCCAATTCATGTAGAAGGAGAGTTGATTTTGCAACTGACTTCTCCTTATTTTCATGCA